CCAGCCCCTCTGTAGCATGTTGAGCTGGGCAGGGGGCTGCCCCAGGCTGGCAGGCTGACCCCTTGGGGCCCCTGCCAGCCAGAGCTGCTCTGTCCCAGCTCAATGTACTGTAATTCCAGGCATTAAACACATACCTGGGAGCATTACACTCTGAAGCAATAAGCCCCGGAGTTTATTGCTGCACATTAATGGCACATGTAGATGTACACACACACATATAAAAGGATAACATACATATATCCTTAGCCTTTCCTTTCTGAACTTATTCTGTCAGTGGAGGAAGGAAGAGAGAGTCCTTATGGATAGCATATGGTATGAACCTCCCTGTATGGTCCAGCCAGGTATTACTGCTATGTGAACAAGTCTGCCCCTGTACCTCATGCAGGATAGTGTTGTATTTGTATATCTAAAGTATACTGGGCTCCATCCAATAGACAGCTTTTTCAGGGTTTAATTTAGCTTCTATTATGTTCAGTATGAGTCCCACACTTGACTTTACTAGGGCTTCTTCCATGAGTAAGTACTATGAAGTCTGAGCAACAGGTTATAGAATCAGGCCCTTCATGAAAAAGAAAACCAAGAATAAATGGAACAACACTTTCAGGCTGGTGGTTTTACAGTGAAATCCCTGCTGTGCTCTTGTTGCATTTACTGCAGTAAAACCAGGACCTAAAAGAAGCAATCCCAAGTAGGACTTTATTTTTAACACTTTGCTTGCACTTGCCTTTCTCCTTTTACTTCTAACTCTCTGAGGAATTAAGGCAGCTGAAAGTGCCACAAAAGCAAAAATAAGGAGGCTTTTCACAGCAGGCTTTCACAGCTTCAGCTGGACTCCTTGGTAAATCCATGGGCCTGGAATTGCAATAAAAAGGTCTAATTTTATACTAGCTTTTAAGATATTTCTGCTCCGTCCTCTCTTGCACTAGATTACCTACAACTGCTTGTAATTCAAAGGTGCTCTCTTGCTTTAAGGGGAGATTATGTTGGCATCAGACTTCAGGAAATTGAGTTTGACCCAAAAGGAAGAAGGCAGCCTACCTTTCTAGATGACATGGTAACCAGATGTCTCCTTATTCTAATCCTGCATTCTTTATTCCTGGGTTAATGAGATATCTGAAGGGTGCCTAATTTAGTGCAGTTAAATAGCTTAGTATTAATATTTGGAAACAAAAAACTTTTATTTAGAGGAAAGAAAATATCTTGGGATCAGTTGTATTTAATAAGCCAGGGTAACAGCTTCAAAGCCAACATTCAGCTGACTTTCAGTGGTACATAGGGGTAACCTAGATGGGAAAGCTAAGGAAAATTTAAGATGAATAATCTAAGTTTGAGGCAAGTGCAGGTATCAAATTTAGGCGCGATTAGTTAAATCTCATTAATGCGTGTGTAGATGCAACCCAGCATTCATTTTAGTGCTGGGTCTTCCAAGCCACTAGGGGCACATGGCAGGGCTGCGGGGACTTGGCACTAACTTTAGGGCCAAGTCCCTGCATGTGTAGACAGCTGCCAAAAATCACTTAATGCACATTAAATTTAGTCATGCATGTAGATACACCCTTAATAGCACAAACAGGGCCAGTAACTCCTTTCCCAAATTATATCCACAACCGAGGATTTATTTATCTACTACTTTGTCTTGATGCAGGAATTACTGGGTAACATGCTTTAGCATAGAGTGATAGTGGAGATCAGACTAGATGATCATAAATTGTCCCATCTATCATTAAATTATGAAATTGCCCTTACATTCATGGGATGAGAGTAGTTCAGTCATGTTTGTGAAGTACTCAGAAGACAAATAAGTACACTATGCTAGCTCAGGGTAAAATTCTGGCCCTGTTAATGTCAGTGAAAAAACTCCTATTGACTTCAGTGGGGCTAGGATCTCACCTTTAGTACAGATACATTTGTAGATGAAGAATATTCATAATTTTACAGACTTCTCTGAAAATGTTTTTAGAAATTTTGTTGTAGCAACTCTCTATGGATGTAGGAATCCACTCACAAAAAGCTAATTGCAGGACTGAGGCCTGACTTTTCATCTGAGTTTAGGTTCATCCTTTCCAGGATTGTTTGTTAATTTGGGACTGTGGAACTGAGCAATCCAGAAATTATGGATGGTGGTAAAACCCAAGATAGTGACTACTTTATAGGCCTATAAACTTTCATTAAGGCCATCTTAGGATATTCTGAACAAGGGAAATGGACCAAAGTCCAACATCTATAGCAGCGGTTCCCAGCACAGTGCCCGTGGGGGCCATGGCGCCCCCCAAGGTTTATTCAGGTGCCCGTGTGCATTTTCACGATCAGTAAAAATCATTATTCCAACAAAAAATGCTGTCATACTGGCACCCACTGCTTTTTCTTTTAAATTCTAATGTGCCCTTGGGCACATAAACATTGGGAACCCCTGATCTATAGCATAGTTAGGTAAAGAATATTAAGTTGTCCAGGGCAGGTTTCAAAGGGAATATGTTCAAAGAACTGATAGTGTACTGTATGAGGCAGCAGAGATGGGGAGGTAACTGTGTCAGAGAGGGAGGGCTCAGTTTTCTTTCCACATGAGCAAGGGATAAGCAGGACTCAGTTATGATTCCTCTGAGTCATAGTTTTGCTCTGTAGCCTGTTCCTGATGCACTGTAGCTATGGGCTACCCCTTTCTTCATGGCATGGTGCTGTACAAAGCAAACACATTGGAAAATGAGATGATTTTGCTAACTTTTTTTTTTTATTATAATAACAGTAGATGCTGTTTGTGACTGTGGCAGGAACACAGTATTTAGATTTTCATCCTGGCAGTGTCCTTTAAACACTGCCCTGTGTTCAGCCAGTATGGGCTTGCTGGGTGCAGCACTATTTGAGTGAATATGACCATTCTTAGGTGTGGCTAATGGCTCCAGAGCGTGAGTGAAAGTTTAACATTATAAAATATAAACATGGGCAGTTTGCAGCCTTTTACAGCTCATTGCACTGAAAAGGGTTTTCCTTAGATGTCAGACACTGCCAAAGGATACTCTTGGCAAGATGGTGGCCTAATTATGTTAACTTTATGATATGATGCCATAATAAAGTTTCATATTGTAAAGTTGTGTTTGCAGCCTTGCTTCAGTGAAGCACATGCTTAACTTTGCTCATGTGCTTAAATCATGCCAAAATCAAAAAAGTTAAGCTCATGTTTAAATGCCATGCTGAATTGGGGTCATACAGCCTTCTGCATCCATGGATCTGAAAGTGCTTCTCACATCATTAACAGATCAACCTCAGAACCCACCTGTGAAAAAGATCTATTTTACTTGCATTTTATAGCCAGGAAAAGCAAGGCAAAGAAATTAAGTAACTGCCAGATGTTTGCCAAGTAAATCATAGCTGAATTCTGCACTCAGTTCTGTCTCTCATGACTCCTAGTTTCATGCTATTGCTCATACTGATATAAATCTGATACATACCCAAACATATCTGCATGCAGGCATGCTTAATTTAAGACACATGTCCTATTTTGGAGGTAATTTATGGTGCCTTTCCAACCTCCCAACAATAAGGTACCACAAGAGACAGAGTTTGGGGGTAAGGGGGTCACCTGACGAGTACACCCAGCATGTGATTGTATTTCACATTTTACTGCATGTTGTTACATTTAAGGTTCTTTTCTATTTTCAGGCTCATTACGACTTAGCCATCAATGTTGCTCTACTATGGCTAAATGAGTCAGAAAACAAAATTCCTTCGACAAAAGGGAAAAGGTAAGTATGAAAAGGCTAGGGCCAAGTTCCTGCATCGGTATTACACTAGTGTGAAACTGCAGTAATGAAGTTATGATTCAGGTCCAGTATCTATCACTGATTAAATAAATCAGACTAACTGTTTATTGACATTCCCCTGATTATCCTGCACAGGAATTTACCAGTTCACAGGAGATACATGTATCCCAACCGAATTGAGAGAGAAGCTATGATTTTATCTTCATATGCTGGAATATTAATGGTAAGGAAGTGATCATGGTTGCAAAATCTTTTGTTCTACAACAGCTTCCCAGTTTAATTCAATTATATTACATGTGCCATGTATTGTTTGATAGTTAATTTACATACAGCATGCATTGTATTTTTTAAAAAATACTATTAATCTGAGATGTGGTAAATGCAAAACAAAAAATAGAAAGCCTGATACAGAATAGGTAGGTGAATTTCTTATCTTATAAAGACCTTCTGACATTAAAAATAACAAAGAAAAATATCAGTGGTAATGATAGCTTCATCTAACACAGACTGGTGTTAGATCCCGTTTAGCAGAATGCTCTTCTACTGGGCTTTTCTTGCTATCTATTTAATGATGTATTTTAGGCATATGATTAGATCTGACTCTGCTTTGTTCACTGTATCTTTTCTATAATAAGAGATAATAGGAACAAATAGCACAAGGAACATCTTAGCTACATTAGCAAGACTAGAAAGGCATGTCATATTGAGCACATGATGATACTGAAGAAGTCAAAATTTTTCTGGATCTCACTGAGATGGGGCATCAGTTGGATTTTATTTAAAAAAAAACAAAGAAAAGAAAAGAAAAGAAAAGAAAACCTCTCCAAGAGCTAAACCCTCTTCTGTTTTCACAGAACAGCATCCCTATTGAAGAGATCTTTGAGATTTACAGCACTGCACCCTCAGCCACACGCTGGCAGCACTCTGAAAAAGTGAGTTGTTTGCTGATGTGTTAGTATCTTTTATAAAGATCACAGTGAAAGAACTGAGTTGAGAGCTAAAAAAAATCACCAGCAGTGTACTCCAGTGGTTAGGGCACTAGAGTAGGAGTATGATGACCTGGCTGCTATTCCTAGCTCTGGTGCTTACCTACTCAGAATTGGGCTAGTCACTTGTCCTCCCACCCTCATTCTATTTAGATAAATTGAAAAGGTTCCAATAAGTTTACCATCGCCCCTGTGCATGTATATAATCACCTAGCAGTAGGGTCTTGACTTTAGTTACTGATTTTGTGCTACTATAATACAACTTCTATTAAATGACAGTTTACCAATGCCATTTATTTCTTTTTAATGAAATAAAATGGGTTTAATTCAACAAGCTTTCCTACCATCCTTTACATATCTATCACATATTAAATACTGGCAAGATCATAGAGTTTTCTTGATCTAGTTGCTTGGAGGTCATCCTCTGGGTCTGTACCACTAACAGCTGTTGTTTATACTGCTTGTCCTGTATTAGAACAGTGGTGACTCTGGCAGAAAAGGTGGAGGAGAATTAACACAGTATCACATTGATAAGCTTTATGCAGTGCATTACAAACATCCATGAACATGCAGTAAGATAGACCACATTGCTTTGAAGATGCCACTAGCTCTTTTCTACTTCAGTGACCTCACTTTGTGTTTGCTGGAGATATACCAGTAATATGGGTTTATGTGAAAGGGCAGTCTCTTCCTGGAATCTTGCTGGATTCCAGGAGTAAAATCCTATCACCCACACTCTGTTCTAGAAAGCCACTCACTCTGTTCCAGGCAGCTACTAAAGAGGTTTTTTAAAAAAAGAAAGAAAGAAAAATACAGTTACCATTTCAGATCTACTTTCTTATATTCTTAGTAACAGACTTCTTCCCATGTCTGCAGTGCTTCATCTTTGGCCTGGTTCTTCCTACAGTTCTTCAGACCACTTCCCTCTTGCATGGAGTCTGCAGATCTTTCATAGATGAGTCTTCTTCATGGATTGTTTTTTGCCTTAAATGCTGATAAGGACTAATGTGAAGTGGGAGGATATAGAGGGCATTTAGAAGGTAGATGTGGACTTTGAGGTATGGCAGAGTAGTGACCAAAGAGATCATGTTCCAGAACCAATCACAGTTCTGATCTCTAGTCTGAAAAGGCTTGCTCCAGCCAAGCACAAAACTCCCTGGTTGCAATCCAGCAAAGAATTTAAGGATGTGTTTAACTTTAAGCATGTGAGTAATTCCACTGACATCAATGGCCAGATCTATAAGACAAAGTATTGTCACAATAGATTTAAAAAAGAAAATCATACCCCCTAACTGACACAGCTCTTTCAGCATACCTCTCCCCCATGTAAATGCAGTCTCACATCAGCAAAAAAGCACTTTTTTGCGATTGTTAGTTGTGCCTTTGCTAGGGGGTTCTAGTTGCACTGGCAAATGCTTTGTACTTAGATTAGTGCAATGACACCATTTATATGCTTCGGAAGATTCATAACAAAGTGTGTTACTGGTTTTGGGGCAGATTACTAAACACTTGGCAGAATCAAGCCTAACAGTTTGCATTCCTTGGTCTGGTAGCTTTGCTGTAGGCAGCCTATGTTTTTTAAAATGGCCAAATGTTTTGAAAATGTTGCCTCATTATTTTTCCTCAGTGATGATATGGACAACCCTGCAAGCTGCAAAATACAGATAAACAAATAATAGCTACAAAGTTAAAATGCCACAAGGAGCAGGTCTAGTCAGAATTCCTTATCCTGTTGTGCAGGAGTGCCTCAGTGGTGGACTCAGATTCTCTGCTTATCAATCAAGTAAAATATTAAATTAAATCTTGGAGTAAATGCACAGACCTGCTGCACTGTATCTTGTTGGCTATGAGTGCTTGATTGATTACCAAAGTCTCCAAAGATAGTATTTTGTTCTTAGTTAGGTGAATAAGATCAATAATATGCCTGGAAAAGCTAGCTCTAGAATAGACAGGACCTTGCACAGCATTCCAACTAGTGAGTCTTGTGAAGGCATTTGTCTTCCTCTGACTTTTGTTCAGAAAAGATTCCACTCCACATAATTTTGAACCAGATGGCATCATTGGAAATGGAAAAACAATACATGAACTACAGTAAAATTTACACATGAATTACAGGAGGATCAGGAATGGACAGACATGAAGCTAGATCACAGTAAATATATACAGTAGATGACTATTGCTATGCCATGCCATTACGGTGGTGGGGCAGCAGGTAATAACCTATTTGCCTTTAGTAAATGACTCTTCCAGTATGGAAGTGGACAGATAACACCTAAATGCAGGGGCAGGCAAAATACAGCCTGCGGACCAGGTCCAGTCCACCAAGCCACCGGGAAGATGGCATAGAGCACTCCCGGGAAGATGGCATAGAGCACTCCCTCTGCAAGTTTGCAGATGACACCAAGCTGGGGGGAGTAGTAGACACACTGGAGGGTAGGGCTAGGATTCAGAGTGACCTAGACAAATTGGAGAATTGGGCCAAAAGGAATCTCATGAGGTTCACCAAGGACAAATGCAAAGTCCTGCACTTAGGACAGAACAATCCCATACACCAATACAGGCTGGGGGCTGACTGCCTGGGCAGCAGCTCTGCAGAAAAGGACCTGGGGATTACAGTGGACAATAAGCTGAATATGATCCACCAGTGTGCTCTTGTTTCCAAGAAGGCTAACAGCATACTGGGCTGCATGGGTAGGTGTGTTGCCAGTAGGTCAAGGGAAGTGATTATTCCCCTCTATTCAGCACTGGTGAGGCCACATCTGGAGTACTGTTACCAGTTTTTCGCACCCCATTACAGAAAGGATGTAGAGAAATTGGAGAGAGTCCAGTAGAGGGCAACAAAAATGGTGAGTGGGCTGGGACACATGACTTATGAGGAAAGACTGAGGAAACTGGGCTTACTTATTCTAGGGAAGAGAAGACGGAGATGGGACTTAACAGTAGCCTTGAAGTACCTGAAGGGAAGTTCGAAAGAGGATGGAGCTGGACTGTTTGCAGTGGTGGCAGATGACAGAACAAGGAGCAATGGTCTCAAGTTGCAACAAGGGAAGTTTAGGTTAAATATTAGGAAGAATTTTCTCATTAGGAGGGTAGTAAAACACTGGAACAGGTTACCCAGAGAAGTAGTGGAAGCTCCATCCTTGGAGGTTTTTAAGACCTAGCTAGACAAAGCTTTGGGTGGGATAATCTAGTTCAGGATGGTCCTGCTTTGAGCAGGGGGTTGGAGTAGATGACCTCCTGAGGTCCCTTCCAACCCTAGCTTTCTATGATTCTATCCAGCCCACGGGGCCCCTCCAAAAGACAATTATTACTGGCCTGCAGCTGTCCCTCTGAAAGCCGGTGGGAGGTATGGGCTTTCAGACGTTGCGTGCCATTGGACAGGGCCAGCTCTGTGCCTCTGCCTCTGTGGGGCTCCTTGCACTGCAGCTGGGAGCCGCCCATGGAGTCATCCCAGCCCAACAGCATGCAACTTTCAATGGCTTCTGGCACTCCAGCTGGGAGCTGCAGGGAGCCACACATGATCAGGCCGGGCAGGCTCTGTGCTGCCACATGCAGTTCCCAACACTCCTTCTGGGAACCACATGCCATTGGACTGGGCCAGGCTGGCTTCGTGCCAGCACGTGGGACTTCTGGCACTGCAGCCAGGAGTGTATGCCTTCATGCCAACCCAGACTAGCTCCATGCCAGCATGTGGGGCTCCTGGCACTGCAGCTGGGAGCCATGTGCCTTTGGGCCGGGCCAGGCTGGCTTTATGCCTCCATGTGCAGCTCCCCACCAGAGTGCTGAAAGCCCCATGTGGAGGCACAGAGCCAGCCTGGCCAGGCCTGACCTGATGGCATGCGACTCCTGCCTGCAGTGCTGGGAGCCCCATGTGCTGACATAGAGCTAGCCTGGCCTGGCTCAAAGGTGCCAGTGGGCTGGGCCAGGCTGGCTCTGTGCCGCAACGTGCAGTTCCTGGGACTCAGCTGGAGCCACTCTGCCTGCTGTGGGCCATGAGCACCCTAAGGGCCCACCACCTCCTGCAGTGGCTGTGTGCCATGGTGGGGGGGCGGGCTTATGGTGGGGGCCCACATCCCCCCTCACATACTCCATACCCTCCCCACCCTAC